ATTATCAAACTGTGTGTCGCAAAGTTCTTGTCCAAGCACAGAACTTCCTCTTTGAGGTCAGCATGACAATTTTTTTTTTTAATCCTATAAGCAGGAGAACTCCTTTTGTATCTCTTGACACATGAGCACCAGAACATAAGGGGATAAGACAAATTTATTTCTAATTAAATATTTACTGAGGCCGGGCGCGGTGGCTCACGCCTGTAATCCTAGCACTCTGGGAGGCCGAGGCGGGCGGATTGCTCGAGGTCAGGAGTTTGAAACCAGCCTGAGCAAGAGCGAGACCCCGTCTTGTTGGAGACTAAGACCCTCCACATTCCAACGACTTGTCCTGACTTGTCCTACGCAGGAAAAATAGCCTAAGACGAAAATAGCACCCAGCCCCCCAGGTATAGTTCCGAGAAGAATGCATTCCATGACGTGCTTGCTCCAGGGCATGCTACCTGCAATTGTTCCAACCCCCTGCCAGGTTGGGTTGACGTGATCCGATCAAGGGTCTTGCTCTGTTGCCCTGGCTGGAGTGCAGTGGCATGGATCATAGCTCACTGCAACCTCAAACTTCTGGGCTTAAGGAATCCTCCCGTCTCAGCCTCCCAGATAGCTAGGACTATAGGAATACACCACTATATCCTGCCAGTTTTTTAAATTTTTTGTAGTTACAGGGTCTTCCTATGTTGCCCAGGCTAGTCTTGAATTCCCAGCCTCAAGCAATCCTCCCAAAGTGCTGGGATTACAAGCATGCACCACCATGCCTGGCCTAATTTTCTTTATATATAAAGACCTCCACGGCCGGGCGCGGTGGCTCACACCTGTAATCCTAGCACTCTGGGAGGCCGAGGTGGGCGGATTGCTCGAGGTCAGGAGTTCGAAACCAGCCTGAGCAAGAGCGAGACCCTGTCTCTACTATAAACAGAAATAAATTAATTGGCCAACTAAAAATATATAGAAAAAATTAGCTGGGCATGGTGGCACATGCCTGTAGTCTCAGCTACTCGGGAGGCTGAGGCAGGAGGATCACTTGAGCCCAGGAGTTTGAGGTTGCTGTGAACTACACTGATGCCACGGCACTTTAGTCCAGGCAACAGAGTGAGACTGTGTCTCAAAAAAAAAAAAAAAAAAAAAAAAGAGTCAGGGGCAAGAAGGAGGTATGCTTTTCCCTAAAAGCCTTTCTTCAACTCTGGAAGTTCTTCATTGACCATGCTGAAGATCTTCAGGATGCCCAACACCTAATATGCTCCATCTCCCACCTGAATCCTGAACCAATTGAGCCATAAGAAAGAGGACCAAAATATCATCTTTATTATAGAGATAGAGACCAAAATATCAGATAGAGACCAAAATATCATCTTTATTATGAATATAGTCAACATTGGAGAATACAGCTTGTACTGTAGCTGCAAAGAAGTAGGCTTCAGAGCACTGGACTCCATAACTGATCTAGACCAGAACAAGTCCCCTCCCATCCCCACAACCAATTCAGCATCTCAGCCTGCTCCTGAGAGTTGCGGAAGAGATCGCATACACTTTGAAAGCCGCACCCTAAAGATTAAAAAAGGAAGAGGAAGGGGCAAAGTTCCTCCTCCCAGTCTCCATGTCAGACAAGTCCTTCTCCTTCCCACGGGGAATCACTGGGGAATGCTGCCCTGATGGAGCTCGGTCTATAGGTGAGGGAGAGAGAGTGGGAGAGAGGCATTCCCCACAAATCTTTTAAAATATATTAAATAATATTTTTAAAAATCAAAGTGAGGAAATTGAAGTTCGAGGAGATGAAATAATTTACCCAATGTCACCCAG